CCGCCAGAGCTCCGGCGCTTCGCCCGGCGTTGTGGTCGTCGTCGTTGTTCAGTTGAGAGTGAGCGAGAAGGACGCGTGCGTCCCCCTGGAGATGCTGATTTTACCCGCCGAGTACCCCATCATCCTCCTGATATTGAGCCCCCGTTACAAAATAATTGTTGTCAAACATCAATTTCGTTGTGTCTTTGTTTTTCGTTGAATTTCCATGACTTTTTCATTTCCGCTCCTTTTACGTAATAGCATACTGATTTCTCTTGTTTTAATTTGTCCCAAAAAGTGTTTTAAGAATCTGCTATTCCCAGGCATGGATTGGAGTCTTAAGTTCCCATCACGCGAAATCGTTCACTGATTTTAACTAAACAGTCTTGTTGAACTGTTTAGTCAGCGTGAGAGCGTGATAACTGGCCAGGCGGTCAAAGTGGTCGCGACGGAGATGCAAAGATTGTTAGGACCCGGCCGCGATGACCAAAGTGAAGTACTACGTATTCTGCTCGGCAGATGCGGCCGCATGATCTCTCGCTCTGTCGGCTCGCATGCAATATGCACAGACGTGAGTCTCGCCGGCCCTCCAGGGGGATTCTCTCACTTTTATGCGTGACTGATGCGTGCCGTCAATGGGCGTGAGTGCGTGGCCGCGGGGGGGCCTGCCCATGGTCGGCAGGGCCCGGCAGGATGCGCGCGGGGCCCGCCCACACAATCGGGCCGCGCCAATCGCCATATCGCCGCGGGGGAGAGCGCCGCGAGGATAGGCAACCCAACGTGCACCAACCCTTCATGCAGAAAGCCGCGAAAAAAAAAGAGAATGTCGCGCGTCGTGGGAATAGGAATTTCAATTTTATGAACACCCAGGGAATCGCGTTCTTGACACAAGTAAATGTACTTGGTTAAACCAAGAACACAGACTCGTTCCAATGCAATTTGTATTAGTCCAAATGGAAAATGCATTGCCCGAACACAAATCGTCTTGGAAATGGAAAATCAAGGGTCAAGAACCCCTGGGTGAAGGAAACCTTTAAAAAAATGTTTTCTGGTTTGTATTTTTTCACCGAAACGGTATAAATGAAACAAATTTTTTCTGGAAAATTTTACATTATTCCAAAGTTTTTCGGATAGTTATGACTTTTTTCTCGGAAAATTTCCGCTTTTTGAATCGCTACGTGGGACGTGGCCGCGCGGCCGCCCTCGCGCTCAATCTTGTCGCGCGCGGGCGCTCATTCCGCGGAATAAAGTTGTAAACATGAGTGCGGTATTTGCCAAGGGAGGCAGAAGTGGACCGTGGCGCGGGGGTGCCGGCGGGTGCGGGGGCGGGCCGGCAGCGCACTTTCTTGCTGTTCCCATCCTCTGGTGCGGCGCGCGCATCAGGGGGATTAGAAGAGAGCATTGTAATTGTGTTGTGCGGTATTTATTCTAATTGTGCAATTAGAACGGCAGGAAACAACGGGGAGGGTCGCGGTG